GTTGGTCTGTGTTCTGTCGGAGCTGCCTGCGACGCGCTGATGAGATCCAAAAACATCGAAATCGCGATCCGCGTCTGGCAGTTTCGACAGAATACAGACCACTTCGAATTATTTTATTTTAGAAGTAATATCCTTCAATAAGATGTTTCAATCGCCTTATAAATGGTGGCAATGTACTTCAGCGGAGTGTTCCGACAACCTATAAACAAAAACAATATCCTTCAGTTGCATGTCTCGATCACCTTATAAATTAAAGGCAATGTACATCAGTGGGATGTTTAGATCGAGTTATCAATAGAGGCGATATCCTTCTGTGAGATTCTTTTGAATTTCATAGCTCTTTGCTTTACTATATAATAAAGTTGTTATTATTTTTCAATCTTGCCTTTCTTATCATCTTAATACCTTACCTCCAGTAACGCCAAAATAATCAAGATGCATTCTAATCAGGTAATTAAAATAAATAAATAACAAGAAACAGGTGCAACTTAGTACACGTGAAAGAAGTGAAACTTCTTTGGCGATCTCTATACCTTTATAACGAATAAGTAATGACTGGTAAAAGAAACAAAGAGTACGAGAATTTTTAGGATTTATGTTTTCCAACAAATTTTATCTTTAGTCCACCTAAGGAGCATTGCTTCAATTCGTTTCTATGTAATTCAATAACAAAAAAATGGTCAAATTTTTTTCGCTCCCGTTTATTTCTCCAAGTAGAATTAATACATAATAATACTCACTCTTAAATAAATATTAATTGTTGTTAAATAAACATTTACTGTAATACACTTACTGCAATATAACTGCACAGATATAACCAAAAAATTAATTTAGCACTATACTATAGTTCATATACACTATACTATAGTAAATGAGATGCCGGTCATTAACAGTTGACTGTAATGCCGATATGCGCATGCGCGCCTTTCTATTCTCATAGCCTATCGCTTCGCGAGACAAACCGATGCAAAACGTGTCGTTTCATGTGGTTACAAAATACCGACGTGACATGGATGGTGGAGGCTCCATTTTTAAATTGAGCGTGACAATATTAACCACTGTTGGTAATTAAAAATGTCAGGAGGAGATAAGGTATATGACGTCGGAAGAGCATGCGTTACTAATTCATTTTGAGAATTTTGTTCTTTTAATAACAGGAAGTGTTTGGTTATGGAAAGTTTTTGCGAATGGCGAAGGACTAGCGGTCAGTCATGCTTAACACTGAGAATCGAATATCGTGGACGACATTTATTAGTAAAGTAATAAGTACACGTTATTGTATAATGCAGAATAATAAGTAAGTGAAGAAATAAACCAAATTATTTTTATTAATTATTCGAAATAGTATTGTATATCCATCCAAGGAAATACATTACACTGGTGAATACGTCAGGCTTATCTGCTCCACATGCTTTTTGTATACGTGTAGCTATCCCTATGAGATAACCATCTATTACCATAGGCCCACCTGAATCTCCCTAGAAAAATTAATATAAAACTAATTCAGTTCTGTAACTGTTCTTATATAGTTTTGTACATAAAACAGAAAAGAAGCAATTAGACAGGACTAGCAAANCTACTTATTTAAATTTGCAGTTTTAACGAAATGGGTGTTTACGACCTACCAGCTTGCATAAATTACATACTTAACAAAACAAACGCCAGCAACGATATATTTTATGTTGGCCATTCCCAAGGTGGTACTCTATTTTACGTGTATGCTTCATTGTTTCCCGAAATCGCCGCCAAAAATATTAAGATTGCCTTCACCTTGGCACCTGCTGTCTTTTTAGGACATGCAAATAGAGTTACCAGAGCAGCAATTTTATTTCTTGTTGACAATAAGGTACGTCCACAATTTGTTACTGAATCCATATGATTTAGAGTAATATAGTTGCAATTGTGAAAAGTTATTCATGTCAATTTTTTGAAGTGAAACTTCTTTACTCACGGTAGGGTAAGTTCGTTTCATGCGAGTTGCTATGTAACGAAATCATGCAACGCATTTCCCTGGCTGTCTGTCCTTATGTATGCTTAGTTCTTTAAAACTACGCAACGGATTTTAATGCGTTTTTTTTTAATAGATAGAGTAATTCAAGAGGAAGGTTTATATGTACAATACATGCATAATATAGTAGAGAAACACTGATAATTTTAGAGTTTTGTAATGTGATGTAAATAAACAAATTTTTTTGCTCGAATAAAATAATTCGAAGTGGTCGGTATTCTGTCGAAACTGCCAGACGCGGATCGCGATTTCGATCTTTTTGGATCTCATCAGCGCGTCGCAGGCAGCTCCGACAGAACACAGGCCATTTTTTAACTGCTGGCTTAACAGTGCGTTATAGAAAATACTAAATGGCGCAGCATACGTAATCCTAAAATGTAACATCGTGCTACAGATGGCGTTTACTGCGCTATTTGTAGTATTTTCTAAATTTTTTTGCGTTTACATTGCAAACGCTGGCTGAACCCTACGAGATAGATCAAAATAATATACTACAGTATTGTACACTTTAAGAAAGTCTACAAAAAAGTCCGCGATGGTATATGTCTATCTCTTAGAGATCACCCACAATAACCATTTTTTATCCTTTACTTTTTACGAGAAGTAATGGCTTATTTACGAAGCGATTTTAAGCAATACAGCTTTACTCTTTATCCAATTAAGTACTTTTAAATACATTGTGCATTTAATATATATCAATACGGCGCTTTACAGTATGTAATTTAAATGAATATTTTCGAAGATATTACAGATTTAAAATTCAGGGACATGGCGGTTGCGGCGGTACCGGCCGGTTTGTATTGTCTAATGAGAAAAAAGCTGTGATTGTTGTATATAAAGACATTCTATAGTATATTTACTATCAGCATTGCACCCGTGCGAAACATAGTGTACAAATAATACCATTAAACCAATTCCTTAAACCCCATCTCGGTATGTTTGTGTGTTTGAAGAAGTTTCACTTCAGTAGCGTGTTGTATAATTACACGTTGCATTTTTTTTTAAATTCATGATTTTGGAAAATTATAACCTGTATGTTATTATTTTATGTTTTGTGTAATGCATATACTACCGCTATCCTAAAGTAATTTTATGAGAGAATCACAAAGACACATGTGTTCACTTACTAAACAAATGCCATAACCATCTGAATGATCCAGACAAATATGTGGTTCTGCTATTATTTCATTTTTATTCGTCATACATTTTTCCCGGGTTGCCAATGGACTTTTTAAAACGTAAAGTTTCATATTTCTTTCTTTTTCCTTTTTTTTATTGCGTTCAGTCCTGCCGAATCCTGTTACTAGCACAACGTCACCCGCTTTAGCACAAACACTGTTATCAGGTAACTTTATCTTTTGCACACCGTCACCGAATTTAAACGGCTTATCAACCTATAAAGAATCTTTTGTTAAATCGGTGTTGGAGAAAGGAAAGCTACATTTTTTCCTTAGCTGAAATATTTAATTTAAAATCTTATTTAGATTATTTTTGATTGATGCTCAATGTAAAATAAACGAAAATATGAATGTGCATATGTAGATATTCCTTATTTAAGTGACTGGTAGTAGTAAGTAGGTACTGATTTCGAACGCAGTTAAATAACGTCGAATAATTAGAATTACGTTTACGTGGATTTCTCCTTTCATTCACATTTTTAAATTAAATTTAATTTTCTATTCTATACATGCAAAGTATATGTTAAAAAAAGTTGTAAAAGAAGGGTTGAAACTGTAGGAAGTGTGTAGTAAGTGCACTATTATTACTTATACTTACCTACATTTTAAATTTAAATATCAAACGTAGTACATACATAGGTACACATTTTTTAATCCATCTATAAATTAAAGGGGTAATTGAATACGTAATATTGATAATTGAGACACTGTTACAAATACGTTTCACGTTTCTTAATTCCTAAGATTGAAACGTACAGTTTACAGTGTTACTTAGAATCCTTATTAGACAGGTATTGTAATCACCAAGACCCGGGTGTTACCACATTATATCAAAGTTGTTTTAGGGTTTGTTTAGATTTCTCCGGTAAATAATTCTTCTCAATTACAGTGGATGTCCATGGAATGTAGTAAAAACATTGGTAAATAAAGAATAAGACGTTTTTAGGAATGTTGTAGGTAGGGAAGCAGGAAGAGAAATCGTCGCCACCCTTGAAGTTATTTGTAGGCATAAGGTAGCGATTGAATGGTAAAGAGAGGCCGGCGAACCGCGAACTCGTGCAGTGGAGAGGGAAGGATCTTTGAGTATAAAATAATAGTCCCACAGGTTCCATGAAAAAGGTAGTCTCCGACATTACACTTACCCTGGCAAAGAGAGCAACCCTTGGGAGTTATATTGTGGCACATTACTTTTGTATGATTGGGTGCGTCATCTGACTGGAGTTCGAGACAGAGTTCCAATAATACGTGTGTTTCATTTATTCGTCAAAGAGCTATCGAATTTGCAAGGTACAGTCCAACGACACCTGGGTTTGATCTGACCCGTTCAAATTGGTTCATTCCCGTACGTCTGGACGACGCTGAGTCCGATCAGGCCTCTGTCACTTGACTGGTTCCTGCCGCCTACCGAGATTTTCCGTGATGCATTCCCTAGTGGAGGATTCTATAGCCACACCTGACGTAATGGTAATCAAAGTTGTAAGGTATAGTCCAACGACACCTGGGTTTGACCTGACCCGTCCAAATTGGTTCATTCCCAGTACGTTTGGGCCACGCTGAGTCCCATTTGACCTCTGTCACTTGACTGGTTCTTGCCGCCTTCTGAGATTTTCCGTGATGCATTCCACTAGTGGAGGATTCTATAGCCACACCTGACGTCAAAGACACTCGGAGCGAAGGTGAAAGCCGCTGGTACACAATTTCTCTATTTGTAGTTTGATATTTTCCACCATATTCGAATTCTTGCCCTTTCTTTCATCTCTCGAAATTAATTCTTATGGCTACCATCATCAATTTTACTTTTAATTATTATTTACTGTCTTCTTTTATAGTAACTACATTATTTGGTAAATTTGTTTGTTGACACAAATTTAGAGTTGTTTATGATATAAATCTTATTGTATATTTTTCATTGGTCTCGGTAGTGGGCTTAACGATAAGTTAAGTAAGCCCACGGCAAGCCCTCCAGTTTGGCTTAATAAAGTTTTATAAATTGAGGAGCTTTAATAGTTGATTGTAGCAATCATCTCAAGGTTTTGCCACTGTGACAGCTGGCTTTATTTTAGTACTCATTACCAGGTTTGTTGGTCTGAACTTTCATCAAACTAGTGGCGACAACCTTTAGTGGGATGTCTAGACCAACCTTAAAATAATACCCTTCAATAGGAAGACTCGACCACCTTATAAATAGAGGCGATACCCTCAGTGACATTACTTCCGTTTGTAAGGTTAGGTTAGGTTAGGTTAAGGTATATCGCCTAACCTTAACCTAACCTAACCTAACCTTACAAACGGAAGTAATACCCTACAGTGGGATGTCTTGACCATAGACGTTTACTAATGGACATGCCTTAGTGGTTAGAATTGTGGTACAACAAAAGAAAGAGATGGAACGAAGTTTCGGACATCATCCATCTCTCTCACGATAGTGCGTCAGCGGGTCATGAAAGAGATAGCTCTAGTCCGAAACCATACGTCATCTCCCTCACTTTTCGAGTCAAGAAATTATTACAACGACATACGACTAAGGCACGTCCATTAATACATGTCTATGGTCTTGACCACCTCATAAATGGAGGCAATATTCTTCAGTGGAATGTCTCGACTCGATTACTTGTTACAAACCGTAAATTTCCTGATTTTGTTTAAATGTTACTTCTCGGCGCTAGCTCTACGAGTATTATTGACTTGTAATATACATTATAGATATTTGAAATTAACACTTGGATTTTTTTGCGGCTTTTTCAATCCTTGCAATAATTCTAGCATTATTCGTTTGTACGGGGCTCATACGTAATGGTAATCAAAGTTGTAAGGTATAGTCCAACGACACCTGGGTTTGATCTGACCCGTTCAAATTGGTTCATTCCCGTACGTCTGGACGACGCTGAGTCCGATCAGGCCTCTGTCACTTGACTGGTTCTTGCCGCCTACCGACATTTTCCGTGATGCATTCCCTAGCGGAGGATTCTATAGCCACACCTGACGTAATGGTAATCAAAGTTGTAAGGTATAGTCCAACGACACCTGGGTTTGATCTGACCCGTTCAAATTGGTTCATTCCCAGTACGTTTGGGCGACGCTGAGTCCCATTTGACCTCTGTCACTTGACTGGTTCTTGCCGCCTACCGACATTTTCCGTGATGCATTCCCTTTAAATATCAAACGTAGTACATACATAGGTACACATTTTTTAATCCATCTATAAATTACAAGGGGAATACGTGATATTAATAATTTAGACATTGTTACAAATACGTTTCACGTTTCTTAATTCCTAAGATTGAAACGTACAGTTTACAGTGTTACTTAGAATCCTTATTAGACAGGTATTGTAATCACCAAGACCCGGGTGTTACCACATTATATCAAAGTTGTTTTAGGGTTTGTTTAGATTTCTCCGGTAAATAATTCTTCTCAATTACAGTGGATGTCCATGGAATGTAGTAAAAACATTGGTAAATAAAGAATAAGACGTTTTTAGGAATGTTGTAGGTAGGGAAGCAGGAAGAGAAATCGTCGCCACCCTTGAAGTTATTTGTAGGCATAAGGTAGCGATTGAATGGTAAAGAGAGGCCGGCGAACCGCGAACTCGTGCAGTGGAGAGGGAAGGATCTTTGAGTATAAAATAATAGTCCCACAGGTTCCATGAAAAAGGTAGTCTCCGACATTACACTTACCCTGGCAAAGAGAGCAACCCTTGGGAGTTATATTGTGGCACATTACTTTTGTATGATTGGGTGCGTCATCTGACTGGAGTTCGAGACAGAGTTCCAATAATACGTGTGTTTCATTTATTCGTCAAAGAGCTATCGAATTTGCAAGGTACAGTCCAACGACACCTGGGTTTGATCTGACCCGTTCAAATTGGTTCATTCCCGTACGTCTGGACGACGCTGAGTCCGATCAGGCCTCTGTCACTTGACTGGTTCCTGCCGCCTACCGAGATTTTCCGTGATGCATTCCCTAGTGGAGGATTCTATAGCCACACCTGACGTAATGGTAATCAAAGTTGTAAGGTATAGTCCAACGACACCTGGGTTTGATCTGACCCGTTCAAATTGGTTCATTCCCGTACGTCTGGACGACGCTGAGTCCCATTTGACCTCTGTCACTTGACTGGTTCTTGCCGCCTTCTGAGATTTTCCGTGATGCATTCCACTAGTGGAGGATTCTATAGCCACACCTGACGTCAAAGACACTCGGAGCGAAGGTGAAAGCCGCTGGTACACAATTTCTCTATTTGTAGTTTGATATTTTCCACCATATTCGAATTCTTGCCCTTTCTTTCATCTCTCGAAATTAATTCTTATGGCTACCATCATCAATTTTACTTTTAATTATTATTTACTGTCTTCTTTTATAGTAACTACATTATTTGGTAAATTTGTTTGTTGACACAAATTTAGAGTTGTTTATGATATAAATCTTATTGTATATTTTTCATTGGTCTCGGTAGTGGGCTTAACGATAAGTTAAGTAAGCCCACGGCAAGCCCTCCAGTTTGGCTTAATAAAGTTTTATAAATTGAGGAGCTTTAATAGTTGATTGTAGCAATCATCTCAAGGTTTTGCCACTGTGACAGCTGGCTTTATTTTAGTACTCATTACCAGGTTTGTTGGTCTGAACTTTCATCAAACTAGTGGCGACAACCTTTAGTGGGATGTCTAGACCAACCTTAAAATAATACCCTTCAATAGGAAGACTCGACCACCTTATAAATAGAGGCGATACCCTCAGTGACATTACTTCCGTTTGTAAGGTTAGGTTAGGTTAGGTTAAGGTATATCGCCTAACCTTAACCTAACCTAACCTAACCTTACAAACGGAAGTAATACCCTACAGTGGGATGTCTTGACCATAGACGTTTACTAATGGACATGCCTTAGTGGTTAGAATTGTGGTACAACAAAAGAAAGAGATGGAACGAAGTTTCGGACATCATCCATCTCTCTCACGATAGTGCGTCAGCGGGTCATGAAAGAGATAGCTCTAGTCCGAAACCATACGTCATCTCCCTCACTTTTCGAGTCAAGAAATTATTACAACGACATACGACTAAGGCACGTCCATTAATACATGTCTATGGTCTTGACCACCTCATAAATGGAGGCAATATTCTTCAGTGGAATGTCTCGACTCGATTACTTGTTACAAACCGTAAATTTCCTGATTTTGTTTAAATGTTACTTCTCGGCGCTAGCTCTACGAGTATTATTGACTTGTAATATACATTATAGATATTTGAAATTAACACTTGGATTTTTTTGCGGCTTTTTCAATCCTTGCAATAATTCTAGCATTATTCGTTTGTACGGGGCTCATAGAAGAACCTGAATAAGTTATTATTACCACACAAAGTAATTATAAAACGGTCCTACTACTACAGACGATCACAATTATTACCAGTTCGTACCTAACTCTGGAAGAATCGATCACAGTATATAGGTCCTTCGCTTAATTTGTATTAATTGGATGAAATAATTGATACTAATTCTAATTTGAACATACTTTCATAATTCCAATGTCGTAATTATGCTTATCACCAAGATACTTTTCGTGCATAAGTAGTTTAGCGACTCCTAGTTGTTGTCCGCATTCGTCTATCCTGGATACTCCAGCTTTCACCATATAGTCACAGGTGTTATTACTGCAAAAATATGATTTTATACCTATGGTATACCTACACTTGCTACAGTTGTACAAAAAAAAATTATAAAAAAGAGTTTGATTACACTTTGTAAAATATTGTTTTTTTTTATATATATTCATTGTTTACGATTTTTACTCTAATATCTTCTTAATATTCTTTTCGTTCAATAAAGTCTTTATCTCTACATTCTATATATTGGTTGGAAAGGCTGATGGTTTCGAATGAATGAGGTTATTTGTTTATTGGTTGAGTAGACCCATAGGTAATACATAATCAGACTGTAAACAGATAATCTGAGAATAAGAAATATGTAGGCAGTCTGTGTTGGTTTCGCCCCGTGAGCGAACGAAGTGTGTGTATCGAGATTGATACAGAAATATAATTAAAAATAGCATGCTTTCACCCCTGGTGCACTGTTGCCCGGCCAAAATAGCCGTGGTTCCTTCGAGTGGGGTTACTCGCAATTAGGGGTGTTGCGGGCTACTCGAATGACATGATTCTGGTGGCGAGGGTAGCTTCATGTAAGTACCCCACACCCGTTCATTGAGATGCTAGTCCCTAAAGGGGGCTGGGCGTCTAGGGAAGCCTTACTTATTTTAGGGTGACTCTAGCTAGTTGTCGAAGAATAGGAATACGTATAAACAAAACTGGTAATATATTGGATACGTGTACAATCTTATGGTCCAACTGAACTAGGGGGAAGGCAACCCCCGGTGAGTACATTAATGTTTATTTATTGGTTGTCAGTAACTGTTAGTTTATTTTGGGTCTACCGGAGTATCTGTTTGACCATCCTAAGTGCAGTCAGGATCTGTTTGGGGAAAAGAATCCATGTTATTAGGTGAGACGAATTACACCTGATCACTACTATTTATTGTTTCTTATGTATTATGTATTTATCAACGCCCTGTAAAAATTATCCAGTTAACAGTTCAGAAGTGGGATTCTACCTACACAGCTCTCTTGACTGCACTACGTGATTTTAATATCGTTATCATCAGCCTTCTTTGTGGTTTGTAGTAAACACCCTGTATGTTATTTTAACTTCTTTAGGAAGTATGAAATGTTTCACCGTATGCGAACCAAGCCANTTTTTTTTCACATTTATGCCATTCTTGAAGAAATAAGTAATAACGAAAATCTGCAGACACAATGTTTACGGGCTGAACACCAAAAACCAATTTTAGGAAAATTAACTATTTTCAAAAATATTTAGTTTTGGAAAACATTATAAAGATATATTCTTCCAAATTTTATCTTCTTTTGCTAATGTTTTGCTTAATGATTACGTTAAAATTATAAATTATAAAAAGCAAGAGTCCCGCCACTCCAATTCAAATTCAGCTAACTGTAAGACAGCAAAAATCCGTAAATTAGAAATTGTAACTAGTTTTTTCTAATGGGATGGCAGGGCTATTGGTGAATCCCAAAAAAAGCTAGCGCGCCTTGGCAATACTTCAATTGTGGTGTGGAAATTTGCTTTAATAAAATTACAATTATCGAGATGAAATTCATGTAGGGTACCTAACAATGTTTACACCTAATCTTTTGTCTTTTGTATTTTGTTCTTAATACCTACATGTTGAAGTGTATTTTAAATAACGTCACATACTATCAGTGATGAACAAATGTTAGTTATTTAATAATTCAATTCATTTTTATCGTAATGGGTGTCTAAAAATCATGTGTAACGACGTGTAGTAATAACAAGTAAGACTCGCAGATTGGACTCTCACATCGAAGCAATGCGCTGTTGCCAAATTTCTCAGCATGGCTTGTATTAGAGACGGCTGTGGTAATACATAATCAGACTGTAAACAGATAATCTGAGAATAAGAAATATGTAAGCAGTCTGTGTTGGTTTCGCCCCGTGAGCGAACGAAGTGTGTGTATCGAGAATGATACAGAAATATAATTAAAAATAGCATGCATTCACCCCTGGTGCACTGTTGCCCGGCCAAAATAGCCGTGGTTCCTTCGAGTGGGGTTACTCGCAATTAGGGGTGTTGCAGGCTACTCGAATGACATGATTCTGGTGGCGAGGGTACCTTCATGTAAGTGCCCCACACCCGGTCATTGAGATGCTAGTCCCTAAAGGGGGCTGGGCGTCTAGGGAAGCCTTACTTATTTTAGGGTGACTCTAGCTATTTGTCGAAGAATAGAAATACGTATAAACAAAACTGGTAATATATTGGATACTTGTACAATCTTATGGTCCAACTGAGCTAGGGGGGAAGGCAACCCCCGGTGAGTACATTAATTTTTATTTATTTGTTGTCAGTAACTGTTAGTTTATTTTGGGTCTACCGGAGTATCTGTTTGACCATCCTAAGTGCAGTCAGGATCTGTTAGGGAAAAGAATCCATGTTATTAGGTGAGACGAATTACACCTGATCACTACTATTTATTGTTTTCTTATGTATTATGTATTTAACAACGCCCTGTAAAAATTATCTAGTTAACAACTTTAATTTTCAAAATTATACAAAACCATTTATAATTTCAGGATCCTATTAAAACAATGTTGTTTGCACAAGCAGTTTATAGTTTTTCATCCAATGTAATACTTCGTTTGTATTGATAAAACGATTTTGTTTATTTTGAGAGACTATTTTGGTTCTTATTCTTTAGTACCTTGTTTTTGTTGTCTTTGCGTATTCCGAAGCAAATAAGACGAAGAAGAAAAAAGTCTTTCTTTATCACCTACACAAAAAACAATGCAACTCTTAATGTAATTAATTTTTTTAAATCTTGTATTATAACGCGTCAACTAAAACTAATATCTAAATATATTAAAATTTAGACTGAGTGCCCATAGCGCCGCGATATTAGCAGGTAAAGTTCGATTGTGTCTGTGGTGCCGTGACAATTTATTAAATACGTAAGCCTGTGTAAAATGGATTTGTTTAATATTGTTTACTTGCTTAATGTAATTCAATTGAATAACATTTTCAACTTATATTTTAACTTTCCTTCACGCTTTATTCAGGCTTAGGACTATCAGTTTTGTACAAGTAAAACGGGCATATTTAAAAGCTTTTTCAATCCTTGCAATAATTCTAGCATTATTCGTTTGTACGGGGCTCATAGAAGAACCTGAATAAGTTATTATTACCACACAAAGTAATTATAAAACGGTCCTACTACTACAGACGATCACAATTATTACCAGTTCGTACCTAACTCTGGAAGAATCGATCACAGTATATAGGTCCTTCGCTTAATTTNATTTTAATATTGTTAAAAAAAATCAAAAATGAAAACACGCAGGTCCTACAGTTTAGGATAACTAACAAACGTCCCGCGCTGTTGCAGCGTAGCCAAGTCGCACACTAGGTACTGATTAGCTTATGCAGGAGAGTCTGAGTCTGAGATTTACTTTACACATTGTTTACAACAAAATAAATACCGCTTCTTGTACCGATTTTGTATGGAAATTATTTATGTGAATATTATCTGTCTATTCTCAAAATTAAAAAAAAAAATGTAAGAAAATTAAACTTGTTAGACACTAAAACCTAGATGAACTATTATAAAATGTATAAATTAACATACGTTCAAATAGAAATTTAAAATGCTAATATTTTCAATGTTGGTACCGCAAAATGGGTGGAAATTTTTAGTATGCGTTCATAATACAGATAGATATTTACAATTAAATTTTAAAGATGACCGTAAGAAAAATTTTTTTTGGGAACGACTTTAAAGTTAGAAACCTTCGTCATAATACGTATAGGATTAAGTAACCTCATTTACAGAAATACAGAGTTTGCATTTGAGTCACACTCACTACATTATATAAAGTTACACTGTTCTAAGTTCTGGGTGTATGCCAATACTCTCAAACATTTCCCCATGTCTGTATTAACTTAATAGGGATGATGACAGTAACCAAGAATCACTAAAATTATGATGTAAATTAATAATAAAGAACTAAAGTATTCTAAAAAACAGTATTTGTTTTTTATTACAACTGCGCTTAAGTTAATTTTAGTAAAAATAAAAGTACAAAACCTGACTATCTGCCATATTAGATCAAACGCCAATAGGAGGCGCGTGACGTCACGCTTTCGTAAACATTCTAACGTTCTGTTTAACGGTCGAACTTGTTAGCTTGTTTTGCTCATTTAGATATTATTTGCTCTGTGGCGAAATAACTCTTATTGTTTTTTTGNTATGCAAAACAGTAACTTCGGTATTTGTTTCATGTTTTTGCGATGTGTCTGCCTGCTATATGCCGTTTCGGACTGCTATGCGATGACCCGCGTAAGTTAAAGTGGTTTATTGAATTCGTAATTAATCCTAATTTTACATTATTTATTGTAAATCATCGTAAGTTGTATTCGGAAAATATTTATATATGAATTTGAAAGAATATCACGATTAAAAATCTGTAATTTGACTTCGAACGCTTTGATTAAGTCAAACATTATAATGACTGTTTTAAAACACCTTGTAATTTTATATTTAATTCGTTTAAGTGAGAGCATAAATCAGTGAAAAGTATAATTTTGCTAGCCATTCTGCATCCAATAATTGATTGTATTAGTCAATAATGTTCTCATTATTCAGGAATACTCTTATTTCCTCCAAACAATCTACAAATCTTTGCAAAACATTTCCGCTGCTTAATCAGCGTACATTTTTGTATAAATGTAAACTATTGTACAACGAGTTTACTTCGTTTAGCAATTCTTGAAATTTTTTTTATTTAGTGCTCGCGCTGATATAAAATTGACTAATTTTGTTACAAAACTCAAAATATCATCAAACATTTTTAAACCTGTTTTGGCACATAACGCTAGTAGGTGAATAATGCAATGAAAATCAAGAATTGTGTGTCCAATACGTTTTGTAAATAAATTTATAAATCCATTTTCCCGTCCAGTTAAGCTGCGGGCCCCGTCAGTTGTAACTGACACAATTTTAGAAGAGAACATATTTCTCTTTTTTCCACTGCATCTATAATTGCATTACAAATGTCTAATCCTTTTGTT